AATCTCCAGGTCTGGATGAAGTTAGGGGAAACAATGTCTGCAATGTTGGTGTCTCTAGGTTCCTGGATGAGGAGACTTTCCTGGGGGAAGCTATTTCTCGGTTCATAATTCTGACATTTTGAAGGGCTGTTTTGGGCTTCATGGAATGGTGAAGCATAAGTGTGAGTAAACACAATACATGTAATGGGGGGGGGAATGTGCACCCCTGAACCTTTCCGATAAATTAGTGTTTGGTCTCAAGACTGCAGACTCGACAGCTACCTTCCAATTTCTAAACCCTTTCCTCTTTGAGGTGGACAACCTAAGACAGAAAGAAAAGATATATTCTTCCCACCGAGGTGGTCCCTATTTATCTAATTGCATTTGCATGCTTTCGAACCACTAGCTTGGCGGGAGCTGGGACAAGCAATGGGCGCTCACTCCGTCGCGTGGATTCGATCTTACAGCTGAAGATCTAAAGACCTTACAGCACAGAGGCTTTTGCGGTTTAACCCGCAGTGCCACCACATCCCTTATATATTGGACCTAAAGCTATACAAAAATATTGTGTGCTTGTTTTCCAAAAGATGTCCCCTCACCTTTTGAATTTTATTGTTTTTAAAGGGAGATGTAGAAGTGAGCCAAGATTGTCACTGGAAACCAAAGTCAAAAATCACCCATACTATGTGAAGAAGGATATTCAAAAAGTTTATCCTACCAATACTTTACCTAATGCCACATTTAATAGTCCTTTGATCATAGTTTACTACTTATTGTGCCATATTCATGGGAGACACCACTTGCTAAGCAGTGGTTAAATATAAAAATTCTTCTCTCATTTTTCACTTATTTCAAGCTGATCTTCATCTCTTACACCATTTAATAGAAATAGCTAACTTCCACTGTCTTACTGAAACGAGCTGGGAAATCACCTTATTTTCATCGTTTAGTGCTACGTTGTACTTCATGGCTAGCTGGCCCTAACTTTCTTCTTGGTCTTGGCCCACAAAGTCTGCCATCTGCTACTTCTCAATCAAAGGATGGAAATCATCTGTTTGCTGGCAAAGAGGCCACTGGAGGACCAAACACCGAAAAGCAGGTGATTTTCCACTGGGATTTCTGGAATCACTATAATTTGCTTCTGCGCTTGGGCCATGTTTTTTGAGAGGTCTTTAGAAAGCAATGGATAAGAAATCCTGGCAGTGGCTTTAAATATCCCCCCATTCTGTGGAAAGTGGGGAGTGGGGGCCAGACCTAGGCAGGGCTCCGTCAGTTTCATTCCCAACATTTCCCCACTTCCCACTTTACTGAAATTGGTGCCTTGGCAATCTCTGTTGACATTCGTACATCTGCATTCATGTTCAGGACGAAAGTTTCTCCTTTTAAGATAAACTCATTGGCAGAGGGAGGCGCAATCCACAAGCTCCTATTTCAGTCAGCCGGTTGCCGTGGAGGGATACTGGAGAGCTTTGCATTTTGAAAAGCATTTTAATGTGAGAATGTTGTGGATGTTAATGGTCGTTTTTCTGTCGTCTCCCGTTGCATGCAAAAAAGATCTTCTGAAATGCCCTGCAGTTTACCTCCGCCCGGTTCCACATGAACGATACCAACCAGGTGACCTTCTCTTCGGTGGGATTACTTCTCAGATTATCTACCCTACTTTTGAATTTTCTTTTAATGGGCATCCTTCTCAAGATACATTTGATGTTCCAGAGTAAGGAGTTATGATTTCTTCCCTTCACATGTTTCTTCTTTATTATTATTATTATTATTTTTAACAACTAGGGATAAGGTAAGGAGCACAAAAGGTAGAAGGTGATATGGGGAGAAAAGAGGGGGAAGGAGAACACAAAATCTCCTGTCATCCAATCTGTTCATGTTGCGATATCAAGTCCACTTTTCGCCTTTCTACAATTTGATTGTCCTCCAGGTTTCAACTTACAGTTACATCTTAGTTTTATTCTATGTTATTCAAGCACTATCAGGTGACTCAGGCCATTTATATAATAAATCCCATCGTTCAGTTGCCTTTTGCACTGGACAGTCTTTCAACACTTCTGATAGAATATCCATTTCTGTCGCTTCCCGTATCTTCGTAATGAATTCCTCTTGTTTTGGTATCTCCGATTTCTTCCAGTTCTTAGCATAAAGAATTCTGGCTGCAGTGACTATATATATAA